ATTTGTTCTAGTACTACACACTACACACATTTTACTACTACATACTACAAACTCATTTCAATACAACAATTTTTCCATCACTAAACCTTTCTAGTACTATACACACTGCACTTAAAGTTAAGTAATACACTCTACAATATACTCTATACAGACATGATGGAGTATGACACACTACACTACACGCTAGTACTACACACCACAGACTCATTTGAGAACTACACAACAGAGTTTGAGTACTACACATTTACTTGAGCACTACACACTACACACTTTTTAGTACTACATACTTACAAACTCATTTTAATACAACACAAAATTTTTACATTACATTTTTTCACTAAACCTTTCTAGTACTATACACACTACACTTAAAGTCAAGTACTACACTCAAGTAATACACATAGTGAGTACTACACACTCTAGTACTACACAGTACACTCACATTCAACTACAGTACTCTACATACTTTTTCTCTGACACACTACACATATTGGAGTGCAACACATTACATGTGTTTGAGCACTGCACACTTATTGGAGTCTACACACTTATTGGAGTCTACACACTACACACTTATTTGAGTCTACACACTACACTCTTATTTAAGTCTACACACTACACACTTATTGGAGTCTATACACTACACACTTATTTAAGTCTACACACTACACACTTATTGGAATCTACACACTACACACTTTTTTAAGTTTACACACTACACACTTATTGGAGTCTACACACTACACTCTTATTTAAGTTTACACACTACACACTTATTGGAGTCTACACACTACACTCTTATTTAAGTCTACACACTACACACTTATTGGAGTCTATACACTACACACTTATTTAAGTCTACACACTACACACTTATTGGAATCTACACACTACACACTTTTTTAAGTTTACACACTACACACTTATTGGAGTCTACACACTACACTCTTATTTAAGTTTACACACTACACACTTATTGGAGTCTACACACTACACTCTTATTTAAGTCTACACACTTAATTAAGTCTACACATTACATACTTTTTTAAGTCTACACACTACGCACTTATTTGAGTCTACACACTACACACTTATTTAAGTTTACACACTACACACTTATTGGAGTCTACACACTACACTCTTATTTAAGTTTACACACTACACACTTATTGGAGTCTACACACTACACTCTTATTTAAGTCTACACACTTAAGTCTACACATTACATACTTTTTTAAGTCTACACACTACGCACTTATTTGAGTCTACACACTACACACTTATTTAAGTCTACACACTACACTCTTATTTAAGTCTACACACTACACACTTATTTGAGTCTACACACTACACACTTATTTGAGTCTACACACTACACTCTTATCCAGGTGTACTGCTGAGATTATAGGACTGAATAGTGTACAGTATTCTTACACTTTGGATTTTGACTGGCTGTAGAATAGCATCTACTTTTTATCTACCGTTTGATGAATACTCTTCTCCATAGAGGTCTCCAAACTATGACACTTCCTTTCTTTATTAAAATATCTGGAAAACTGATCACATCTCTCCCTCCTGTGGTCAACAGAGTCACAGCACTTTCAGTGAAGGTGTCTGATAATCCAGATCACCAGACAGGAACATTGCGTACAAAGAACCTCCATAATTGTCACTGAGAGATCCTCCACCTGTCCACAAGGTTTATGGAGAATTTCACTTCCGAAAATGTAACAGAACGTTCTGATTATTTGAAACAACACTGATCCCGTCCCCCTGCTCCAGATAAACTCAGCACATGCTGGTTTGGTCTTAGGGGAAACTGATCCAAGAGCTCTCATTATAGTGATGACTGGAATTTATTATTCAGGTGGAGCAGGTTAGATCACTATGAGGAGATAAAGATACCAACACCCAACTGCCATGACAGAACAATGAATGTTGCATGGCTATACATATATATCATATATATATATATAAATACATGTATATGTACAATCCCATTTTCAAAAAAGTTGGGACGCAGTGCAGAAAAAAAGGATGCAATGATATGCAAATCATGTAAACCATATCTTTAAAGGAAAATACTACAAAGACAACATATCAAATGTTGAAACTGAGAAAATTTACTGTTTTTTGAAAAATATATGCCCATTTTGAATTTGATGCCAACAACACGTTCCAAAAAAGTTGGGACGGGGGGCCTGTTTACCACTGTGTTTCATCACCTCTTCTTTTAACAACACTCTGTAAACGTTTGGGAACTGAGGAGACACTGCTGTAAAAGTGAAAATGTTTTCCTGTTCTTGTTTGATATGGGATTTCAGCTGCGTAACAGATCAGGGGCTCATTTGTCATATATTTCATTTCATAATGCACCAAATGTTATCAGTGGTGACAGGTCTGGACTGCAGGCAGGTCAGTTTAGCACTCGGACTCTTTTAATACAGAGCCATGCTGTTGTAATCCATGCAGAATGTGGTTTTACATTGTCTTGCTGAAATAAGCAAGACCTTCCCTGAAAAAGACGTCGCCTGGATGGCAGCATATGTTGCCAAAATCTGTATATATCATTCAGCATTAATGGTGCCTTCACAGATGTGCACGTCACCCATGCCATGTGCACTAATGCACCCCTATAATCTCTACTTCTAAAAGACTCCGCCTCTCTGAGATGCTCTTTTTATACCCAATCATGTTACTGACTTGTTGCCAATTAACCACCAGATGTTTTTTAGCATTACACAACTTCACCAGCCTTTTATTGCACCTGTCCCAACATTTTTGGAACGTGTTGTTGGCATCAAATTCAAAATGGGCGTAGATTTTTCAAAAAACAATGAAATTTCTCAGTTTCAACTTTTGATATGTTGTCTTTGTACAATTGTTAATAAAATATAGGGTTTAAATGATTTGCATATCATTGCATTTTGTTTTTATTTACATTTTACACAGCATCCCAACTTTTTTGAAAATGGGGTTGTATTTCTAAACAACATTGTATTAGCATTTTTAAAAACATATAAATATTCTTTTTTCTAACAATACATTAGGTTGAATGGTCAAGAATTACCCTTGCGGCCAAATTTTCTGAAAATGGTTCTGTGTGGCACCAAAAAGGGGTCTTGTTACAAGCTTGACATTGTAACAACAGCAGAACCCATTTTCAAAAAGGGTTCTACATAGAACCAAATAAATAACCAACACATTCTCCATCAATCTGAAGTAGAACCACTGCCTTTACTAAATAACCCTTGAAAGACCATCTTTTTAAGAGTGTCCAGTTATTTTTCTTGCCTTAGCATTTATTAAACTACAGACGTCCAAAGAGGTCATGAGGTAGTTATAATTTATAATTCTGGATTTATTTTGAGATCACGGCTTAACTATCTTGTGATCTCAAGATAACAAAATATTATCATGTGATCCTGATCTTGTGATCTCAAAATAACAAAAGTTGTCATCTTGACATGACAAGATAACAAAGTCGTGATCTCAAGATAACAAATGTCTTGTGATCTTAGGACAACAAAGTTGTGATCTCAAGATAACAACTTCCTATGGAGCCTTGATGATGACATCCTGTGTAAATAAAAATAATGTGTGGCCACACCTTATTAACACGTGGGAACGAGATCCTAATGCGTGGCCATGACTTAGTAAGGCTTGGGAATGAGATGATTAAGTCATGGCCATAACTAAGTAAGGCGTGGGAACGAGATCACGGCTTACTAAGTCGTGGCCACGCATTAGGATCTCATTCCCATGCTTTACTAAGTTGTGGCCATGTATTATTTTTATTTATGCAAGACGTCACCAGTGGGGCTCCGTAAACTTCTGTTGTGATCTTAAGATAACAAATTTGTTATCTAGAGATCATGACTTAATTATCCTCTGATCTCAAAATACACACACACACACACACACACACACACTCATGATCTCAAGATAACAACTTCCTACGGAGCCTTGATGATGACATCCCGTGTAAATAAAATTAATGCGTGGCCACACCTTATTAACATGGGAGAACAAGATCCTAATGCGTGGCCACAACTTAGTAAGGCGTGGGAATGAGATGATTAAGTCGTAGCCATGACTTAGTAAGGCGTGGGAACGAGATCACAGCTTACTCGTGGCCACGCATTATTTTTATTCATGCAAGACGTCACCAGCAATTTGTTATCTCGAGATCATGACTTAATTATCTTCTGATCTCAAAATACACACACTCATGATCTCAAGACAACAACTTAACTGTCTTGTGATCTCAAGATAACAAAGTTGTTCATTATTAACGGCGTAATTATTATCTTGTGATCTCGAGATAATAAAATTGTTATCTCGAGATCACAACACAATTAAGTCGTGGTCTCAAGATAACAATCCAGAAAATTATAGCCACAGCTCATGGCCTGTCTGCTATTCCGTAACTAAACTCATTTCCTCATCAAACCTCTTTTTCATCCCTCTTTCATTAACTGCATACAAAACGATATGATTGGCTGGAACTGCCTCTATTATATTCATATGCAAATGATGTGTAAATTTGAATCGTATCACTTTTTCAGTTGAAAACTCGAAGCCATTCCCCTAAAGCTGCTGTCTATCTCTGTCTCTGCCTTTGGTCTCTCAAACTCCCAGCTGGCCGTTCTCTGACTCCTGTACGGGACGGAAACAGTCGCTGCTATCCTTAGTGATGTCCAGCCCAATCCAATTAGGCTTCGCCCACGGCTGTGCTGCAGCCAGAGGGGGGACTATCGCTGTTCAGTGTGAGCAGAAAAGCCCGCAGGGCTGAGTGGGACATTTCACCCGGGGCTGCCTTTAGATTTTTTTTTTAAATTCATTTTCTAAATCATCATCATGGCTGGAGGGCGAAAATAATCGACTCCGTCTCTTTGTCTTCTCCGCCTGAACCCACGTGCTCACATCGTGGCTTTATCGAGCGCGTGCAGAATGAAGAGGAGCGACCGGGCTTCTCCTCTCTCTCTCTCTCCCTCTCCTCTCATGGAGGCTCAGTTACAGCCGTGAGCTCTCCGTATCCCCCCCAGCAGCGGAGCTATGGACAAAGTGGGCAACTAGAGAAGGTAAGACCTCAGTACAACCCTCGTTTTCCCGTTTTCCCGTTTCCTTTCTTTCATGTTGTGCTGCAGTCCTAATGAAGGCTCCATCGTCCTCACTGGAAGTCTCTGAAACAGTGTCGGACAGTCTGGTAACGAAGTTTACATCTCGTTTTACGTCTCGTGAGCTTCTGTCGGGGCACCGGATGGCTCCCTGAAAGCCCCACGCTTATCAGCCTTAAAGGGGAATTCCACCAGTTTTGCAAAACCTCTGCCAACAAAGTCAGAGTGGTTTGGCTCGAAATGCTTCGCTGTAGAGAAACTCACTGATCTGGATGTGTTTACAGCGGTGATGACAGCAAAACCGGGAAACGCAGTGTTTACAGTGCAGATATATTTTTTTATTTTCCATGGAAAACCACCAGTGAACCTTTGACCCTCAATGAAGTTACAGTTGAGAAAATGAACGCGCACCATCTAATTTTTCACAATTATGTTTTAATATTTTCTCAGTACATGTCGTTTTTAGCGCTGGACTAAGCCCCCCCCCCCTAACAAGGCATTATTAACCCCCCAGAGTCCAGTGAAAAGCCTTATTTCACATTTATTTCAATAACACCCTGCTGCTCTTTCAGAACATCACTTTTGTCCATTTTTAGAAATTTGTCTTTATTTTTGAGGCTTTTTTTTACTCATTCATGACCACATTCTGGACTGAGACGCTGACTAGTAAGGATGAATGTATTTAAGGTCACTTCATCCTTCTGTGGGCATTACAGAGGTTATCTAGAACATCAGTTATTCATGGCTGAGAAAATCTGATTAGTTTTTGCAAACTGTTTACTAATTTAGGGCAGAATACTCGATGTGTTCTCTTAAATTGCTTAGATGTCTTGACTATTGGACAAGTGTGAGTCCTCTGAGTATTAGGATGTGTTAATGATGCTGGTGAGGTAAATCAGGAAAAAAAAACATTTTATTTTTAACAGTTTTAAATTTACTGGGGACTATTTTGCCTCGTATTGCTCTGCATGTATCTCTCCACCACAAATGTATTTTAAAAAACACGTTTTAAGCTGAAAAACTGTCACAAAACAGTCGTAACACAACCGTCTCAGACATTAGTAGTGTATACAGAACCATTTTCTTTAGTGATAACTCTCTGCGAGGGAGTTTTTGCAGGCGATGAACTCTTCAGACGTCTGGTTACTCGCAGAATTGCTGTGAACATTTCTGGTTTCTCTACAACAACAATCCCCTTAAAAGGACAGTTATGCCCTAAAAAATAGCTAAATAGTGCTATTCTTTGGAGTCTTGGTTTAGGCTGGAATCATGGGTGCTTAAACTTTGTCTTTTTTGCCATAGTGTAAGATTTGTGGTGGACCAAGGGCCAAAAAAAACAAAACAATGTGCAAATAAAGGAGGTCAAATTGAGTAAAGAATGTATTTTTATACTAAAATACATAAGAGAAACATTTAGAAGGAAAATAACTGTTTAATAAGTTGTACATTGTATGAAAATATGTTTCTTCTGGGTGAGGAATGATGTTAGGGTCCTCTGGTGGGCCAAATCAAACATCCTCAAGGTCCAGCATTTACCCTCGGTCCACACTTTGGGCAGCCCTGGGTTAGACCTTTCAGACCTCTGGGCTCTAAAACAAGAGCAGATTGTGCACCCCAGCTGGGCTTCAGAAGTAACAGGACACTCCAACCTTGCAGGGATAAAGAGCAGAGCTCCTGACGTATTGGATGTGGCAGGGTATTAACTCAGGGCAAACTGCTCGCAGTGCAAAAGGAGCCGCTCGACTTCTCCTCAATAGCTTTATTACCAAACACTGGCCTAAATAAGTTCCCTCTCTGGTTGGGGGGTTTTAAAATAGCCCGGCTCTTTCCAAGTCTTTTAAGTGCAGGAAATAGCAACCCGTTAAATAGTCCTGCAGGGATTTGTGATCAAGACGGTTTTAAACGCCCAATCGCATTACGGTCTCCTTCCCTTCGGACGTTGTAGCCTGTCGGACCTTCACACGCTCAAAGTCCTGCGTGCACCTGTTACACGCCTGGGACAACGCTGCACTCTAAAGAAATAAAGGTGTCAAAAAAAGGTACCACTGAACAACCATTCTAGGCTCCCTAAGGAACCTTTTAGTGGATTGATCAGTTTGTGAATGAGGAGAAGAACCTTAAAGAATCTCCACGTAATGTTAAGGTTCTATACCAATTGAAGGTTTTACCTGAATGCTCCGTACAGGAACCTGTAGATATATTTTTTATTTTCAATATTGTTTTCACGACTCCTGTAGGGAGATTATAACTTGCAACTTTTTTGGAGAGGTATTTAGTGTTAAGTAGAAGGACGCTTATGTAATCCTTCACTCATTACCAGACAAGCTGTTAAGGTCACTCCGGTGCCATGGATATTCCACCACGTTGAAGACGTGTTTCTTTTCACTTTATCATTCATGTAGACCTAGAAAGAAAAACAACAACACTCAGTCATCATTCACTTTAACCCTGAATGAAATCACAATAGTAAAAAATGCACATGTATAACATTAAATTTCCACTTTTTAAACACTTATGTTCGGATTTTTCCCCAGTATATATCCGTTTAAGCGCTGGACTAACCCAAAGGTTTTATTAACCCACAGGCGTTCCATGTATTTCAGTAACACTGGTGCTGCTGATTATTTGACATTTTTCATCATTTTTGATTTTTTTTCTTTTTCTTTCATTCTGTATTGAGACACTGACTAGTATAGATACGTGTTTTAGGTCACTTCATCATTCTAGAACATCAATTATTCATTGCTGAGAAAATCTGATTCATTTTTGAGAGATATTTACTCATTCAGGTCAGAATACTCATTGTGTTCTGTTAAATTGCTTAGATGTCTTGACTGCTAGACGAGTTTAATGTGCATTGTCTGTCAATTCATGTGACTTATCTGCACTGAAAAAAGTGATGCATTGAATTGAACTGATTTAGATGTCCACATGAATAAAATACATCAACACAGTTTACTTGCTTTCCTTATGAAAAAGAACTAGTAACTAGTAACACTACAGGATTTTTTAGGGTATTTCAACAGTCAGACACTCCTTAAAGTGGGACATTTACTAGTTTACTATAGACAATTCTTAAAGTAGGACAGTTACTATAGTTACAGACAGGTTAGAGATTTCTATAAGACGGTACTCCAGAGGAGAAAGTATTCTAAAATTTATTATACAGCACTGTAGAAATCTTGAAGCCTCATATTGTGTACCTGTGGTTCATTTTCATGGCGTTTGGTCATAATTGTATGGATGTAACATATTTTATTCCTGTGGTAACGATGAGCGCATTTAAATCAAGTAAATCCAGTGCATGCTTTTTTCAGTATGAATATGTGGTTACCTGTAAATCTCTCTTCTTTCCCTCTTTGCAGGTATGGAGGGACTTGTCTGAAGTGGATTCACAGTAGTTAGCCTCATCACTGGACCTTTCTTTCAGTATCGGTCCTGTTCGTTGACTAGCACAACTTCCTTGACCAGCGCAACCTTTGTTATAGCGGCCATCATCATGGCTGAGAGAGCGACCTTCGGGGCTCAGAAGGTGTCCCGGCCGCAGGGCTCCCTTCCGCCCGAGCCCATCGACATCATCCGGACCAAGGCCCGTTCCAGGAGGGTCCGGATCAACGTAGGTGGGCTGGTCCACGAGGTTCTGTGGCGGACTCTGGACCGCCTCCCGCGCACACGGCTCGGCAAGCTGAGAGACTGCAACACCCACGACACCTTAATGGAAATCTGCGACGACTACAGCCTGAATGACAACGAATATTTCTTCGACCGGCACCCGGGCGCCTTCTCCTCCATCTTGAACTTTTACCGGACGGGCAAGCTGCACATGATGGAGGAGATGTGCGCGCTGTCCTTCGGCCAGGAGCTCGACTACTGGGGCATCGACGAGATCTACCTGGAGTCCTGCTGCCAGGCGCGCTACCACCAGAAGAAGGAGCAGATGAATGAGGAGCTGAGGCGCGAGGCCGAGACACTGCGGGAGAAAGAAGGGGACGAGGTGGACACGGGCTGCTGCCCTGACAAGAGGCAGAAACTGTGGGACCTGCTGGAGAAGCCCAGCTCTTCTGTGGCTGCAAAGGTACAACAAACACATACGTGGCCCAAATATATGCCTAAATACACAGCCCAAATACACATAGTCCAAATGTATGGCCCAAACAAATAGTCCTTATATTTAACCCAAACACACCTACCTACCAGCCATATACACTGCAAAACCACACAGTCTGACCCCTGGCCTAAACATGGTCCAAACTCACACTGGAAAAAAGTAATGGATTGAATTTACATGTAAGGAAGACCAGGGAGGGTCGTATCACCCCCCAGTTTCACCATCAGAAATAAGCTACCACTGTGCACACCCACCCAACTCCTGAGCTGACAGTAGAAGGCTTTATGAGAAACAGTTATGTATTTATATAACAAAAATCTGATTTGAAACTCAAATTTCACATCTGGATTATATAGTTATATGCAAAAGTTTGGTCGCCCCTGGTCAAATTGACCACTGACATTTCCTAATGAACCCAGTCAAGCAAGGTAAACTTTGACCTTGTCCAACCTCATCTGCAGCTTCCTTATCTCTTAAACTAACCCACATACATGCCTAAACAGTGTTGTGAGTTTTGGCACAGACTAATATGTTCAATATCATTGTTTTTTCTTGTTCATTTCCTTCTCTGAATTAAGTAATGGGGAAATATGTCCTTTACAAATGTACTTTTTTGTACTACTGTTACATCTTACCCTCATAGTGAGGGTAAAGGAAAAGGAACTTTTGGTATTTGACACAGTCTTGCTTGTTTTGTGAGTAAGCAATAGATTTCAACGCCATTGCTATTTATAACGGACGAATATGGGTACCTTATATAGACGTTGAAAAGGCATAGCACAAACAGCCACTGAGATACAGAGGCTGAGACAGCCCTCCCCCGTGTCCCTGGACAAAGAATTAGTCGCATGCATCATTTCCTCTTTAATATTTGGTTAAGCATCCTTAATGAGAATAAGTTCATGCTCATTTTAACCCATTCTTCGACTAACTTCACGTCCAGGCAGAACACATGATTGACACTCCGGTATTCCAGGATGACCAGCAAAAATCAACAAAAACCTAAACTCCAGTTTTGAGTTTGGAGCAGCATGTGAAATGTTAAAAAGCTCATACAAGCTCTGGCTGAAATGGGCTAAGAGTGCGCTAAAATGTCCATCTCGAAATCCTGACCTGACAGCGCTGGCACTGATATGAAGGCAGGGGAACGTAAGTTTTAGAGAAGAAATTTTGCCTGCAACTAATTTTTAATGTGGAGAGTTTATATTATTTTGTACACATTTGAACCAAGTAAATTCAGTGGATTACCCAACCGCACACAGTCTATGCACATAGTCCAAACACACTCGCCTATACCCACTAACACATGCATGATCCGACCCCTGGCCTAACATAACCTAAACACACAACCAAAATACCCAAATACTAGGCATAAATTCATATGCAGTACAAACACTTGGCCCAAAGATGTACAGACACAATGGCCCAAACAAGCCCACCCATACCCACCCATAAACACATGATTCGATCCCTGGCCTAACATGGCCTAAACACACACTCCGAACACACCACCAAATGGCCCAGACATACACAGTCCACTGACCAGAGACACAACCCAATCCTGGTGTTTACATTTAGGCTGCGTGTACATTTGGCCTGTGTGTTTGAGTTACATGGTTGTTTTTGGGGTGTGTGTTTCGTCCAGCGGATTCTAGATCTGGCCCTACTGACCATTTTAGTGTTTTCCTGCTCAAACACACCCACTACAACTCAGGAAGGGCTTGTTAATTAACTGATTAGTTTGGTTAATCATGTTAGAACATGAAAAGCACCAACATTTGCAGGACAGGGGTGCTCCAGATCCACATTACTGGCCTAAACACATGACCATATGACCATATTTGCCTTGCACAGTCTAAGGGTGTGTTCAGACTAGAGGTGGGAGATGGATTTGGCCAAAATGTAAAAGCACGAGTTTGGAAGCTGGAACAGACAAAGTAGCACCACATTTTAATAATACTATCAGATACTATGCATTCAGTGATTTGTATACGACATTTCACACAATATACTGCAGTAAATCCAGTTAAACAGGACGAATTATTCTCCTTTTAATCAAACATGTATTTGGGAATTTGGTGCTTGTGATATCCTCAATATGCTAAGACAAGCATATTGAGACATGTTGTGATGTGATTTATCACAATGACGGTGAATGTTGTCATATTACCCAACCCTAAATTAAAACAAACCCCTGGTGCGGTTGTGAGAACGCTGCCAGATAAGTGGGCCGAGAACCCCTGAGGAGGTAATTCCTGGTCAAACCCAGAATGAACCGTTGTCTCTTCTCCATAGACCTTCTTTGATACTTGCAATAGATGCATTTCTGATGTTGGTGATATTGAGCTCTCGAACAATAATGAAGTCCACCTCCTTGTTTCTACGCTCATTGTCCATTTTATCAGCTCCACTTACTATATAGGTGCACTTTGTAGTTCTACAGTTACAGACTGTAGTCCATCTGTTTCTCTGCATACTTTGTTAGCCCCCTTTTACCCTGTTCTTCAGTGGTCAGGACCCCCATGGACCCTCAGACCACAGAGCAGGTACTATTTGGATGGTGGGTCATTCTCAGCACTGCAGTAACACTGACAGGGTGGTGGTGTGTTAGTGTGTGTTGTGCTGGTCTGAGTGGATCGGACACAGCAGTGCAGTTTTTAAACACCTCAGTGTCACCGCTGGACTAAGAATAGTCCACTAACCAAAAATATCCAGCCAACAGCGTCCTGTGGGCAGCATCCTTTGATCACTGATGAACGACTAGAGGATGACCAACACAAACTGTGCAGCAGCAGATGAGCTATCGTCTCTGACTTCACATCTACAAGGTGGACAGCAGTGCTGCTGGAGTTTTTAAACACTGTGTCCACTCACTGTCCACTCTATTAGACACTCCTACCTTGTCAGTCCACCTTGTATCCACTTGATCCACTCAGAACAGCGCAACACACACTAACACACCAGTGTTACACCAGTGTTACTGCAGGGCTGAAGAATGATCCACCACCCAAATAGTACCTGCTCTGTGAGGGTCCATGGGGGTCCTGACCACTGAAGAGCAGGGTAAAAGGGGCCTAACAAAGCATGCAGAGAAACAGATGGACTACAGTCTGTAACTGTAGAACTACAAAGTGCACCTATATAGTAAGTAGAGCTGATAAAATGGACAATGAGCGTAGAAACAAGAAGGTGCTCATAATGTTATGCCTGATCAGTGCATATGCACCCTAAACCTGCCCGATACTGGAAGATATGTGAATCTTACAGTGGTAAACATTTACTCATTTAGAGAGTTAATTCCAAACTATTCCTCTTTGCTTCAATATAATATAATACTGCGTATCTATAAATGATATGAAGAAAACCATATTCATGGTATGCTCATACTTTTTTCAGCAAAACAAAACCCTGAGCTGATATAATGCACCATGTTTTCTAGATGTCGCTTTTTATTCATCTCATGTCACCATGACACAGAACCAGTTACATGCTTTTGATTTTAAAGTCTGTAGATGATAATAAATAACATTTGGAAGTCACATTATAATTGCAGTGCAGTTTTTATGTACCTTCTGCTTCTGTTTATCCAAATGAATCCACTTAAGCACAGGCTCTAATGTCACAAGACAAGTGACATATTGTTGCTATGCATGTGCCCATCTGTATGGGAGATTTAAAGTCTTGGCACATCACTCAGACTCGTTTGGATTGGCACAATCCAGAGCACTGAGCAGATGAATATTTATGTACTTCCTTTGTTTTGTTATGGCAAATGGCTCTATATGCATACTTTATGCACATACAGCAGCTTTGGTGAAGCACTGAGATTTCTAAGCGTTGTTTGGATATTTAAGGGTTATGTTTTATACATATGCATAGTGATATGGTTGGCTTATACTTAAAGCATGTTTTAGAATGACCATGGATCAATACACTGTTAGAAATAAAGGTTCTGTTCAGGTACATTTTCTCTTCATCAAGGTGTAAACAATGTAAATGTTCCCTCAAAGGTACAACAGTGGATTTAAGGTCTGATTGTGAACCTTAAATAAGTTTTTCCAGGTGAAAAGTTCGTATTTGTACCTTTTCATAACCGAATGTTTTAAAACAGAACAGTAAAATAAAAGTCCTGGAGACGAGACGGGGTGTGTGGAGTCAGTACAGCTTAGAACATATCATTTCAGTGGATTATGGTTCAGTTATGTTCCCTGACTAAAGGTACTGAGATGGACCCTTGAGGGCACCACCCCAGTGACAGTTTCGTACCTTTTTTGTATGATGCTGTGTTACATTTATTGAGGCAAATTACAAAGGATTATCACAATAAATAATGCTTTTCTAAGTATATCATCAGTACTTCTAAAACAAAAATAGTTTTTGATTATAAATAGCTTGTTTTAAAGCTCAGTTTTAAAGAGGGACTACTGAATTGGTATTTTGTCACACAAAATCGGTATCGGAAAAGAAAATTGTGGCAGGAAAGGAATCGAACCATCTCTAACAACAACCAGTGAACAGCGACTGCAAAAACTGTAAAGTAACAAATAGCGGATTGGATATCAGCCCATTATGATGTCATCTTGTTAAGTTGGCTTGTTAAGTTAGCTTACTGTTTGTTTTCTTCTTCTTAGCTGAACACTGAATTTTCCTGTACAGCTTTTAAGCTTGAGCAGCCTAGATCTGCAGGATCGTAGGGCCTCTGCCCATATAGTGGGCTTGTGTTTTGAACCAAACAGACATACAGTTTTCAAACAGCATTTATTCAAAAAAAATTAATGATGAATGATTAGAAAATTAAAGTCTAATTGACACAATGTCATAGTAGAATTTACATTCTTACTATCAGCCACTTGGAATACCATAGGAATCATCTAGCAACCCCCTGTCAAGGACTACACACACCAAAGCAACCAGCTGGAAGACCATGGCAACCGTCTGTCAATAGGCTAACAACCACATGGAACATC